CTTGCATATTTAACTCCTAGAACTAATAGGAGAAATGCTATCTGACTTCACCATCCAGCACAGAAGACATACACTTATTTTGATGTATGCATCAAAAGGGCATTCCTGTATCAATCTCCGGAGCTATTTAGGGTCTAATGTTCCCCACAGTTACGTTTTATGACGGTCTATCAAGCAGAAAATACAGAACCCGTGCTGTGAACTTACATTTTCCCATTTCAATCTAATATTTCAGACATAATTTTCGAAATTCCAATGGGAACTTAAAAAGTTAATTTACTTTGCATTCAACCTAGAAAAAGCTTGTTCCTGTGGGCTCGACAAGGCTGTTAAACAAAATATCTGTTTTAGTAAAGTATGATACATAAAAGCATTTAAGGCACTTTTCCCTTGAATTTTAAGCTCATGATTTTTTATTTAATTTTCTGTGATATGATCCAATTAGGAATAACCGGAGGCTATCCTCAATATGCTGCTTAAGGGATAGCAAATTTTAATAGCCAGAATTGGAGTCTTGCAAAGTTCTCTAGGGAGAAAATACTTTGAACATTAACCAAAGCAAAATAAGCAAAAAAGTGCAGACATTGGGAAAAAAAATAACATTGGAATAATTATTCAGGAGGTAATATTATATTTATAAGATAATGATCTTCTAGAACTGAGTCTAATTTCTTAAAACACAAATATTTAAAATTATAATCAGATTAGATTTTTTGAAGAGGTGTAAAACAGAAAAAGTTGGAAAAAAAAAGAACTAAACTAAAAAAAAAAAAAAATGAAGTGTTCACTGTAAGTGCATTTTAAAGGTGGAATAAAGTCAAGATTGATTGCATAGTAAAGCTATTAAATTCTAGTTGTGAGTTTAACATAAATAGAAACAATTTAAAGAGTACCTGTCATTTAAGGCCTTAATGAAGACATATTACTTATATTCATATTTATAAGATAACTCCAACTTTTAGAAATCACTAAATGTGACTAGTTATCACTCTTAAAAAAAAGAACTAAACTAAAAAAAATGAAGTGTTCACTGTAAGTGCATTTTAAAGGTGGAATAAAGTCAAAATTGATTGTATATAGTAAATCTATTAAATTCTAGTTGTGAGTTGAACACAAATAGAAACAATTTAAAGAGTACCTGTCATTTTAGGCCTTAATGAAGACATATTACTTATATTCATATTTATAAGATAACTCCAACTTTTAGAAATCACTAAATGTGACTAGTTTTCACTCTAAATTAACTCAGATTTTTTTTTTTAATCTTAGATATCAAGGCAAGTTTAGTAGCATTGGTATTTGTTGGTTAACTTGATAATAACTCTATGTGCATGAGATGAGAATGACAAACGTTTCAGTGTTAGCATTCTTTAAAAGTATTTAACCCTTAAAAGTATCTCACCAAAACTAACATTTTTGTTGCTTAAAATTGTACTTGTATCGTAGTGCAGATTACTGGGAAAATCAGTAAACCAATCAAACAAGCAGGAAATTACATTTCTGGGGACGTCTGTACACTGGCAGTATATAGAACACTTCCAGATTGCCATATTGCATTGAATGTTACAGAAAGTTACAATGGCTGCAGTTTGAAAAAGTAAAGGTTTTTTTTTTTAAATAAATGATATAAACAATAAATTACAATGGGGTTTGTGTAGCAATTGTATACAGCCTGAATTCTCCAGGGATTTGACAAAATATAAGTCTTGGATGGTGGATAATGGAATCTGATACCACTCTTCATGCACAAATTGTCCAGTTCTCGCGGAGATGCTGGAGGCAAAAAATGAGCCTGAACCTTGTTCTCCCAAAATTGACCATAGTGGCTCTAAGATATTGAGGCTTGGTGACTGCGGTGCCCAGGGAAGGTGCGAGATTTAGTTTGCATGCTCGTCAAACCACGATTTGACAACACCAGAAGTGTGCATTGGAGCATTAACGTCTTGGCAAATGGCACTGTCTTTGGGAAGCAATGTCTGCACTATGGGGTGCACATGGTTGGCCAAAATGTGTACATAGTCACTGGCAGCGACTCTACCTTAAAAAGTGATGATGGGGCCTGCAGAATACCAAGATACGGCTGCCTAAACCATGATTGTACTGCTACCATACTTTACCATTGGCACAAGACATCCTGGTTGAAAGCTTGGCACACATAAACATGTCTGGTGGTTGAGAACAGTGTGAGGCTCGATTAATTGGACCAAATTACAGTCTTCCATTGATCGATAGTCTATGGGTGTTGCACCACTCTCTCTCCTCTTCTGAGCATTAAATTGGTCACTAGTGGTTTGGCAATTGCAGCTCGCCCATGAATGTTTTGCTTATGGAGTTTCCTCCATGCAATTTTTGTGGACACGGGCTTTGGAAGACTGAGATTGAGCTCTGCAGTCACTTTTGCAGTAGTTGTTTTATTATTCCGGATCACAATCCTGCACAATGTCCTTTTGTCTCTTTCGGTCAGTTGACCATGTCAGCCATGCTTATGCTTATCAGACAACATTTTCCTGGAAACTGCATATGCCATCATAACCTTTGATACGCTGTCTGGCAACACAGCAAATAAATTGGCATCTTTAGTCTCAGAGGCACCAGGTGGAAAGACTTTTGTCTTTTTCCAGCCAGACTAACTATGTAACTATGTAAACATAACTTACCTTAATGCAGGGAATGCATTAAGATAAAAAAATGCAGAGGCATTAGAACCACTTTGAATGCAGCTAGTATCCTAGTAGTACCTAGAATCTGTCTTTTACTGTTTCTTTCTGTAATCCCCACACAGCAGCAGTCATGCTATATACTGTAGTACACATTTATACAAGTCTAGCGCACAGAGCATGCTGACAGAAGGAGAGAGCAGACTGATAACTCATCAGTGATCTGTTGCCGCCATGTTGTAAATTGGTAGGCTGGGGGTCCTGGCCTGAACCATGCTGTTGCTACAGCGGTGGTACCAGGGGCAGACTGACCATTTGGAAACTTGGGCACTGCTCGAGGGCCCGGGGTCAGTAGGGGGCCCCATGAGATGCCCCTGGTACCTTTTTCATAAGCTTTTTTGAGTTTGGGCAAGGACACAGGGCCCCATGATCCCCTATTGCCCGGGGGCCCCATGAGTTGTCAGTCCGCCCCTGGGTGGTACAGAACCCTTTAAGCTGTTCCGTATGGCAGAGTATCTGAATCTCAATATTGTCTTTATAAAGGAAAAAAAACATTAATATATAAACATGTAAAATGTTTGCATATGGGTGCCTGTTTAGTATTTTCCTGCTAGCCCTAAAGCCATTAAAAGAATGTATCCCATATTTGATTTGTTTTGTTTAATTTTTTATGATCGGGTGATTAAATTGATGTGTGTTGAAAAACTGTGAGCTTGTCACCATCTGTTTCTATAACGGTAGTCAAACTAGTTAGACGCTTTGCACATTTGGATGTTTTCTGTGTGTTTTGACAAGTCATAGCATACGTACAATGTTGTCCATTTTAATACTTAAAAACAGAATTAAACAGCTTGGTGGGTTGGACAGCCTCTCTGATTTTTGATTCTATGTTCTGTTAAGTCCTGTTTTGGGCTTTATTATTTTCTTTCCCTTTATAACTCAGCGTCCTTCTCTGTTTATGGGATAAATTGAGTACAGGTTGCAAATATGTCAGTTTGTAGACCATTTAAAATGTTTCCAGTTATTATAAAGAACAAATTGTATCTGAAATCTAAAGGGATTGAATTTAAAAAAAAAAAAAAAAGTGAAACTGTAGAGTTGAGTTTTCGATGTTACTCCCTTATGAAAGCTTAAAAATTTAATAAATGTTATACCTATCAAATGAGATTGAATATGATTCCAGGCAGAATAAAAGCTTCAATAATAAATACATAGCTTGAATAGCTATTTACTAGTATCTTCTTGCTTTTGCTGCTGGGAACACAAATCTCTGTTCTGCAAAGGATGTGTGCAGCAGCACCCCACTTTTTTATATTGTAGACATAAACTAGCTGTTGCACATAATGAACTTTGATTCAGAACCAGGGGGGGACTGACCATTTGGAAACTCGGGGGTCAGTAGGGGGCCCCATGAGATGCCCCTGGTACCTTTTTCATAGGCTTTTTTGAGTTTGGGCAAGGACACAGGGGCCCCATGATCCCCTATTACCCAGGGGCCCCATGAGTTGTCAGTCTGCCCCTGTTCAGAACTGAAACCACCCCACAACCAAAGATTGCTTTATGTCTCATGCACACTGAATGTTTAGCCCAGGTACATGAGATCCAGGTTGTTTTGGTAAAGCACTGGAACTGGACTGGGGTGGATGGCGCACAAAGTGGTACTAATGTTTAGGGCACAGGGGCGGACTGACCATTTGGGAACTGGGGCACTGCCCGAGGACCCGGGGTCAGTAGGGGGCCCCATGAGATGCCCCTGGTACTTTTTTCATAGGCTTTTTTGAGTTTGGGCAAGGACACAGGGGCCCCATGATCCCCTATCGCCCGGGGGCCCCATGAGTTGTCAGTCCACCCCTGTTAGGGCAGTGGACGCAAAGATGAATGCCTGGAACACTGACTGTTTATGTTCCAGGCATTCATGCCACTGCGCATACTGCCCTAAGTGTTAGTACCACCTGGTGCACCATCCAGTTGTAGCAGCTTTCAGCCACTCATAGAGATTTAAAGGCTGCTGGCAGTGGGGCTGGACGGTGTGCCTGTGCCTTCCACCTGCAAAATGCATTGGGGCAAAACACCCACCCATAGCCCTCATCAACACAGACACTGCAGAATTCTGCAGAATTTTCACATAGGATTATACAGTGCATTTATAAATTATTCAGACCCCCTTCACTTTCTTCAATATTGTTAGTTTGCAGCGTGATACTACAGTTGTTTAATTTCATTTTGTTCTCATTAATCTACACTCAGTACCCCCATACTGACAAAGTGAAAACAGAATTTTTGAAATGTCTGTGAATTTATTTAAAAGAAAAAACTAAAATATCACATGTATTTAAAGTGTTACTAAACCCACAACAGTAAAATCAGTCTGTATATGCAGTAAATTATGCTTGCTATACTCACTGGGGAACCTAAGGGGTTCATCCTCTGCATTGTGTAAAAAGGCTGTTTGAGCCCGTCTTCTCTGATCCTCCCCTTCTTCCACAGTTCCCAGTCCATCTGCTGATAGTACAGAGCCCTAAGAGAAACTCTGCACATGGTCAATTTGGTGTGTATTGCTAGAGAATTTTTTTATTTTGGGCGGGATGCATGTTATTGACACTGGGCCAATCAGCACTCTACAGACAGAGGGTCAGGGGTCATGAAACCTCATAGGGCAGTCAGGGGAGAATGGCTGCCCTCCTACAAGATTAACCAGCGCTCAGCCAGACACTGATAGAAGTCACAAGACTGCTATATACTGCTGATGATAAAAGTTATTTAGCAGTTTATATTCACTAAAATAATTGCATTTGTGTGGTTTGTGTATTCAAGTCTTTTTGGGTATGACAAAATAAACTTTGCATACCTGGATTGGGGAATTTTCGACCATTCTTCTTTGCAAATCCTCTCAAGCTCAGTCAGGTTGGATGGGGACCATTGGTGGACAGCTATTTTCAGGTCTTTCCATGTTATTCTGACTCCAACTGTTGTAATAGTTACTTATCCCATGCTGAGACCTCTCAGCCTGGCCTGTATAAACAGATACAATCACCGCAGATAGTCTTTATCAGATAGCTGAACTCATCAAATACCATCCAAGGAGATCTTTATTGAATGCGGCAGGTACAGCAGACAACAAGATGTAGCAGATGATTAAAAAGATGGTATTTGCAGGTCAAAACATGGTAATGTGTTCCCTGATGTAAGCAGATTACATGTGGTCTAGAGACTAGCTTCCATATTCATCCCAATAAAGACAGAGTGAAAGGAAATACATCATGTTCCAAGTGGGAGGGAACACAGGATGGAAGATGGAAAAGGATGGTGCAATAACCAAAATATCCACTAGATGGCAGTATATTAACCAACTATACAGAGGCTAGTAAACAATGGTTTAAGTACATTTAATTTCTTAAAATGTAAATTTAAAACATTTTTAAAAAAAAGGAAATGTAAATTCTCAGTGCGCAGTAACATGAACATTAACCATGACTTATTTTCTCATACAGCAAATGTGACAGCACAGATATTCAATAGGGTTCAAGTCAGAGCTCTGCTAGGCCACTTTAGGACATCCACAGAGTTGTCCCTAAGCCTCTCCTGTGTTGTCATGGATGTGTGCTTAGGATCTTTGTTATTTTGGAAGGTGAACATGCAGCCAAGTCTGAGGTCCTGAGCGCCGTGGAACAGGTTTTCATTGAGGATATCTCTGTACTTTCCTCCATTCAGATTCCCCTCAACTCTAACTAGTTTCCCAGTCTGTGCTGCTAAAACAAACTCCCACAGCATGATGCTACCACCACCATGCTTCACTGTTGGAATGGCATTGGGCAGGGGGATGATCGGTGCATGGTTTCCTCCAGGCATAACATTTAGAGCTGAGGCCAAACAGTTCAATCTTGGTTTCTTCAGACCAGAGAATCTTGTTCCTCACAGTCTGAGAGTTCTTCAGGTGCTTTTTTGCAAACACCAAGCAGGCTTTCATGTGTTTTGCACTGAGGAGAGGCTTCCGTCTAGCCACTCTGCCAGAAAGCCCAGATCGGTGGAGGGCTGCAGTGATGGTTGTCCTTCCGGAACAGGATCTCTTGAGTTCAGTCCCATTCATTGTATCATTTATGCTGCAATGCATTGTGGCCACACTAATATGTTCTTCCCCTTCTAGGTAAGATTGCACAGTTTAAGGGGATGGTAAAAACGCAGATCAACTGCCTGTTTTTACTGCCCCCTCTGGTCACCCATGTGAAGCTCAGGTTAGCTTTTAGAAAATTGTTTGAGGTGTGTTCAGTTACAAAAAGAACTATCCAGTGCACACAAGCTGATACTGTGCACGTTTTCTGACAATATCTGTACTGATTGGAGTTCTCTTTTAATTCCACCTAATAATGAGGGCATTTCCATACACCTGCTCTGTAATTACCACCAGTGCACCCGAACTGTACATCGCAGGCTGCCGAGGATTGACAGAAAATGCTATTATTTTTGTAGTTTCTATTTTTTCCTCTGTAATATTTTGACCGGTTAAGAAGTTTGTGAGCATGCCCTGGGAAAATATACTGATGATATAATGAACATTTGCATTATAACAGACCCGAAAAAAACCTCAGCTGCATTTTTTCGCTTATTGCCATCTGTATTTCCCATTCTAAATTACGCAGGCTTATGAATATTTGAGTAACATTTGGTCAAGATAAAAATCTTCCTTGTCAGCTCCATAAATGAAAACTTTTTGGCTCTCGAGACCAAACCAATCAGGCAAATTAATTCTGATTTGTTAGAAAATACTTTTCATTTTGTCTAAGCATTTTCTTGGTAGACTTTTTTTTTTATGAATAGATGAGGAATCAGGATTTTTGCACACTGATTTCCCTGTGAAACTAATTACAAATAAATTGTAAAATAATTCTCAGCAGGAAGTAATGCAATATACAGTGTATATTTGGAGCCAGACCAATATGTGTTATACAATTTTACAGTATATTAATGCAGAATTTGGAAAGGGTTTTTTCGTATTTAGAATATTACATTTTAGTTTCGAAACTTAAATCTAACTATATAAGGTAATTCTGACAATTGGGTCTTATTAGGCTTATTTTACATTGATGGAACCAGAAGATTGGATAGGCTTCCATATTGACGGTATGTTAGCTTTTGGCACTCGGTTGCCAGATATTAGTTCAGATTTCCTGGCACACAGAATGAAGTTCATAACAGGGGCGGACTGACCGTTTGGAAACTCGGGCACCGCCCGAGGACCCAGGGTCAGTAGGGGGCCCCATGAGATGCCCCTGGTACCTTTTTCATAGGCTTTTTTGAGTTTGGGCAAGGACACAGGGGCCCCATGATCCCCTATTGCCCGGGGGCCCCATGAGTTGTCAGTCCGCCCCTGGTTCATAATTAAAACCACACTTATCCCACAACCCTTAATTTAACCCTCCCACTAACCCTTCCAGCAATCACAACACCTAACACTAGTCCTCATATTAAAGCAGAACTTCATGTAAAAAGGAAAGTTCTGCTTTTTGTCCTCTACCCTCCTACCACATTTGGCACACACTCTTTTTTTAGTGGGGAGCGGGCACCTTTCAAAACTAGCCGATCTGAGCCGAGGTTCACCCACCCCCCCCATCATTTCCTGCAGCCTTTTGGGACATGTCACAAGTCCCAGAAGGCTGTGGGGCCATTCACAAAGCTCAGCAAGGAGTCACATCTGGCTTCCCAAATGAAAGATGCTGGGGACCAGAAGGCCGGCAAAGAATCAGGCCAGGTGAGGTACAGTATTTGTAGCTGCTGACTTTTATTCTTCAGGGTGAAGAACTGCTTTAAGAATTTCTTGTATCTCCAACACTAACCATCACATTCAGAGCTTGTTTACACCTGCTTTTTCCTGTAACCCTAACACTAACTTTTCTTGTAATCATTGTACCAACTCTTCATGTATCCTTAGCAATAACCCCCCCCCCCCCCCCATAACTCTAACCCTCACATTAATCCTCACATTATCCCTTCCTGTAATCCTAACACTAACCCTCACACTAATCCTCACATTATCCCTTCCTGTAATCCTAACACTAACCCTCACACTAATCCTCCTATAATCCCTTCCTGTAATCCTAACACTAACCCTCATACTAATTCTCACATTATCCCTTCCTGTAATCCTAACACTAACCCTCATACTAATTCTCACATTATCCCTTCCTGTAATCCTAACACTAACCCTCACACTAATCCTCACATTATCCCTTCCTGTAATCCTAACACTAATCCTCACATTATCCCTTCCTGTAATCCTAACACTAACCCTCACACTAATCCTCACATTATCCCTTCCTGTAATCCTAACACTAACCCTCACACTAATCCTCACATTATCCCTTCCTGTAATCCTAACACTAACCCTCACATTAATCCTCACATTATCCCTTCCTGTAATCCTAACACTAATCCTCACACTGATCCTCACATTATCCCTTCCTGTAATCCTAACACTAACCCTCACATTATCCCTTCCTGTAATCCTAACACTAACCCTCACATTATCCCTTCCTGTAATCCTAACACTAACCCTCACCTTATCCCTTCCTGTAATCCTAACACTAACCCTCACACTAATCCTTACATTATCCCTTCCTGTAATCCTAACACTAACCCTCACACTAGCTTTCCCTATAAGCCCCACCCTAGCACTAACCATCGCACTTCCCCTCATGTAACCCTAAGATTACAGCAGCCTATAGATTCTGCAGTTTCTTTTCCTTCCATCATGGAATTGCTCGATTCCCCCATTAACTCTTACTGTGTTGATGGAGGATGCAGTGCAGTTGATGCAGTGCTATTGTGTTCTGCTGGTGGGGAGCCTTCCCTGCGGCTATAGCTGCCAGCAGTAATCACCTGCAAAAAATCAAACAGGCTAGTTTTATTGGACTCAACTGATGGATCGACTTCAGCACAGCCAGCCTGCCCATAGATGGATCGAACATCAGCTGATCTCTGCTGAACTGGCAGAGATTTGACCCATCTATGGCCGGCTTAAGGCAGAACTCCAGGCAAAAATGTTTTTGCCCATGCAGTGGGACTGTGCCCCCAATGCTCTGGTTAACTGCTCATTTTGTTCTAGGGGAGAGTACAATGGACATATACTTACCTGTCCCGCCGATCCGACCCGCACAAGAACTGTCCCTTCTGCTCCTGCCTTCCCTTTAGAACCACTATAAAGGATAAGTTCACTTTTGGAACATGCTACATGTTCCCATAGCTGCAGCCTCAGCTCACAGCCACACGGCCTCGTCATTCATTCATGGACGTCCGTGAATTAATGAACTGCAAGTCCCGACAGCCCTAGCAGCTGTGAGCTTGTAGTTTTCAATGAACTACCACGGCACTGTGGAGCACCATGGTAGTTCATTGAAGCTTCCTGTCAGAATATCTGCTTGACTGTACATCCCGTATGGCAAGCAGATATTCTGACAGGTCTGCAGGAGACCTGCATGGCATCAGTGATCCACTGATCGCTGGTGCAATGCTATCCATGCTCCTTTGGACAAAAAAAATAAATGCACATTTTTACCTTAAAAAAAATGTGCATTTATTTTTTTTGTCCAAAACGTGAACTTATCCTTTAATCTCCTCATCCCCAGTTATCAGCCTGCAAGTTTTTACCAAGGTGAGAGGCTACAGCA